CTTCAGCCCATCGGTGCGTTAGATACACTAGAAGGTCACCAGTTGAGCGACCGTGACGGAAACCGTATTGGCGGTCACTGATAAGTTCGTGCTCTTCTAGGTATCTAAGGAGCTGTGAATTAATCACTCGCTCCATAACCTTGGAGAGAAGGGAGGTGATAGCTATTGGCCTGTAATTCGACGGGTCGGATCTGTCGCCCTTTTTTGGCACAGGGTGCACATGGGCCATCTTCCACAAAGTTGGAACTTTCCTAGAGGCGTAAGAAATCGCGAAAAGGCGCGTTAATACTGGACGCAACTCAGGGGCACACCGCTTGAGCACCACCGCAGGAATGCCGTCTGGTCCACTCGACTTCTGAATATTAAGTGAGAGTAATTCCCGCCGGACTCCACGTTGAGTAATAGTAATATCCGGCATGGAATAACCACACCACAGGATATTAGGTGGCACGGCGCCTCCGTCATTCATTGTCGAGTTTGAGGCAAAGAGATTACCCAATAGATCGGCTTTCTCCTTTGCGCTGTGGACCAGGTTACCATCAGACCCACGGAGGGGTGGTAATGACGACTGACAAAAATTCCCTTCGGCAGCTTTTGCAAGCGACCAGAATGCTCGACTTCCAGCAGGATGTTTAGCGAGCCGCTCGCCAACTCTGCTAACAAAATCGAATTTTGCTTTGGCAGTCGCTCGTTTACTGGATCTTGAAACAGCATCAAATTTCCGTTTTACATCAGAGATGTTGTTATCCTTGTTGGTACAAGCCGTAGTCCAAGCCTCATACGCAGTCTGCTTAGCCAGAAAAGTTTCTCTGCAAGACAGATTAAACCACGGCCGTTTCTTTGTCCCCTGCGCAACTAGTGGGTTTGGTATGAAACATTCCATACCAGCTAGAATCGCCTCAGTCACGGCAGCAGCGCAGGGTTCAGGATCATCTGATGTGAAACAGAGCTGTCTCCATGGGTACGATGCGTAAAATTCACGCAGTCCATCCCAGTCTGCTGATTATAGTGCCAGACGCGTCGCCGTCCAGTTTCACGGAGTGATGTTTTCTGCGTACATGGCACTTGGGTCCGGATAAGACAGTGGTCTGATGAGCCGAGAGGCGCATCCACTGAAATAGAATAGCCATCCGGATGTGTAGTCAGCAGTAGATCCAGTAAAGAGTTCGTATGGTCCTCTATGTCCGGTATTCTCGTAGGAGAGTGTACCAGCTGAGAGAGTCCATAGGCCAAAGCAAAATTATGAGCAGATCTACCCGCAAAGTCAGTGTTCTTAGAGCTAAGCCAGTCACTGTGATGGGCATTGAAATCGCCCAAAATCACTAACTCCGCAGATGGGTACTGCTCAAGAGCCTTGTCTGTCGCCATTCGCAGGTGGTCAAACATGCGTGTTGTGTCCATGTCACCGCTGTGAGACCTGTAGAGGCAAGCGTAGATTCGGATGTGGCCGTGGTAATCCACACGTACCAATAAGATTGACAGGTCTCTGTCTTCAAGGCCATTAAGGCGGCGACAACAAATATCATCCCGGACATACATACAAACTCCGGCACGCCGTACAAAATTATGCTCGAATTTGTAACCGGGGTAGTGTAAGTGGGATGTGTCGGCCGGGCTGGATATTTGTGTCTCCGTAAGGAATAACAGGGCCGGCTGCGCAGATTCCAGATGCTGATGGACTGCGTTGATGTTGGAATGAAGTCCTCTGATGTTGCAAAAGTCCACTTTAAATGTGGAAGAGGATGCCGCTGAGTATCTCTTATTCCTTTTTGTTCTGGCCATAATTATAAGAAAAGTGTGAAAGGTAGAAAGAAATCACTAAGCCATCAACATAAGAGACAATTGTGCTATTACTTCGCAAGAGAGTAAGACAAGTTATGTGGAAAGCTGGCACGGCGGGCGGAAGGGCCCCCGGTCCATACCTGTTACAGCAGTCGGGTCCACTCCGGTCTCCTCCTCCGGCACGACTACTGCTTCAGGGACTTTACACAAACTGGCGGTTCAGCCTCCCAGGGCGGAGATTACGTGATCCCTGGGTTCGGGAACCCGTTCAGCTTGCGGGCGGCCAGCGGTCAGCCGTTTCACCGGGTCTCCCTGACCGCCGTGCCAATACGCCACGCTTGTTCCACTCAAAAGCGATTTGAGATTTCACGGGTCTCTCTGTTGACGGCTCAGCAACTCCTTTGAAGAGCTCTGGTAACCAGGCTCACCTGCAGGAACACATCACGAGGTGATATTTGGCTGCAGACTTCTGCCAGGTGGAGGTATTTCGCCAGTCGGGCAGCTCAGTTTGGAGTAGTACTCAGCCCTACCTCTCTTCCGAGTGTCACTCGTTTGGCACCACCCAGGGGTCACGTGTAGGGTCTCTAGGGTAAACCTACGGACGCGAGTGACTTCAACCCCCTAAATATTTTTATCTTATTTGTTATCCCATAACACAAGCCTTATAGTGCTTACTTTGGGGCTAGGCTAATTGGTGTGTGTTTAAAAAAAACTTCTGGCAAAGTGGTCAGAGCGTAATCTTCTCTAACACTTGCTATTCAGTCATCTCTATAAACATGGATACCGATTTAACCAAAGCCAAATTATTAACCTCAGTAGGCTCTAGGTTTTCTTCTTTTTTAATGCAGTCCCAATGTCCCTCGTTAAGAGAAACGCAAAAAGGCTTAACATTAGCTAATATTGATTCCCAAAGAAGGTGGTTTTGTGGTATGTCTACAATTCAGTCATGCTCTGTTAAAAGTCTCTTCGAAGGTGTCGTGTGAGGCGAGTCGTTGCGTGTTCCTTAAAATATGGTTGAGCGAAGCGATGGCTGGTTCATGCAGCATGGTCTTGAACGGGTGCTGCCAGCGGAGATGAGTCTGCCTTAACTTTCTTGATAAGAAGAATTGGTGATATTTGTTTCTTAGGTTTTCACGCACATCACTCATTAAATAAAACTAGTTTTTACGGGTTAATGCACGAAACTTTATTTATTTATTGACGTTTCGCAGCCTTTTCAGGTCTGCATCGTCAGAATAATGATTTTATTTAAAATTGTCGAGCTACCTTCGAAAGAATTATATTGTGCGTTCGGTTATTTCATTGGAAGATTTTTAAAAATTTTATTGTCTATGTATGAATTTATTATTTAATTTACTTAATAAAGTATTTTATTTAAAATTCTTGTTTGTAATTTTGAGTTTATTTATTTGACCCTAACTACCGTAAACTACCACCGGTTCCAAAATTGGGAGACCTTCCTGAGAAGAACCGGCGAAACAAACTCAAGAGAGGCTTTCTATCTCCTTCTTATGTTAAATTATGCAAACAAAAAGAACTAATAGTATCTGATGGTCTTGCAGTGTGTGCTCGGGGTTGGGATTTTATCTCCTGTATAATAGGTTCCCAAGCTGGTGGTATATACCAACCATCTTCCCTATTGAAATTTGGATATTTTTTAATCTCAATAGCCTCGCGCATCATTCGAGGAACGAACCGCCGCTCAGCTGCAAGGATCTGTGGTCTATCAAATCTAATGTAGTGGTTTGGTCCCCCTAATGCATGTTCACACACTGCAGATTTATTTTCGCGCCTATGTTTCATATCTGCGATATGTTCTTTTACCCGAGTCCCTATACTCCTCTTTGTTTGCCCGATGTAGGAGAGCCCACAGTCGCATTCAAGTTTGTAGACACCAGCAACTTGAAAGGGTATATTGCACTTGACCGGTCGTAGAAACTGGTTGATCTTCTTAGGCGGCTTGAAGTATGTATTGATTGAAGCACGCTTCAGAATCCTCCCAATCTTGTCAGTGACTCCTTTCATGTAAGGTAGTATAGCAGGTTGTCGGTCGACTGTGCTAGGTTTGGCGCGACTGTGACGGCTACGTGGTACATTCAGGTTATTATCCTTCAGTACTTGCTCGACATGCTGAAGTTCAGCTGCCAGGTGTTGTTTGTCACAGACACCCCGTGCTCTCTGAAACAAAGAGTTTCCTACGGCAGTTAATTGTTTCGGGTGATGGTGTGAGTCACCATTGAGGTACCTATCAGTATGAGTCACTTTACGATACACAGTATGGCTTAAACTTTGGTCAGGATTCCTGATTAATAAAATATCTAGAAAAGCTAGTTTACTATCTGCCTCTAACTCCATAGTGAATAGGATGTTGGGGTGTATAGAGTTAAGGTGATTTAAAAAGGCAGAAATTTGATCTGTTGGGAGGATTGTGAAAGTATCATCTACGTACCGCTTATATAGCCTGGGTGTGACAGGTGCTGCGCCGAGAGCCCTCGACAATTTTAAATAAAATCATTATTCTGACGATGCAGACCTGAAAAGGCTGCGAAACGTCAATAAATAAATAAAGTTTCGTGCATTAACCCGTAAAAACTAGAATTGGTGATGTCTAGTTGCACCTGTTATAAATAACACTATTTGTATTTATACTGTATGACACAGCAATCAAAATGCAGTTGAACAATTAATGTATATTTGATTATTAGGTATGTAATGAAAGGTGACTTCTCTGAAATCATTTTTCAACTCGACGAATCTGTTAACTTGCCGGTTCTTCTTAGTACAAGTTCTCCCTTCGTAGATTTACGAACCGATGGCGTAGCTTCTAGTCATTCATGAGTGCTTGTAACAGCCTAAATTGAATAAGTGATTATTGTGGCGGCGACATCTATATGCCCCACATATATACAACGGATTGAAGAAATCATTACTCACCATCTTCAAGAGATGGCGTTACCTGCACTGCGATCATAATAGTATGGAAGCCTTCATCGCGCAAATGAAATTTGGAGGCTAACTCTGTAGAGTATACGATGCCCGACCAACATCAGTCGGGCCGCGGCCCCCGAGCTACCATCACCCAGCTCGGAGGAAGATCTTCCACTTCCTACAATTATGATTAGTAAAAAGTCAGCAGATTATCACAGGGTGCCGATGTATATGTAAGATACAGATTGCTATCTTCCGTAGTTGTTACAAACTTTTCGGGTAAATTTCAGTAGTGATCGGAGCGAAGTGGAAAACGGAACGCCCATATTTGGAGGGCGGCATATTTTTGGAGAAGCATGTCCTCTCGCAGATCCACTTCCACTGGGGTGAGGACATGACTGAAGGCAGCGAACACACCGTTGACAAACGGCGACACCCTGGGGAAATGCAGGTAGGGTTTTCCAACTTTTTGAAGTTATACTTCTTTAGGCGCGTTATGAACAAAGGATGAGAGTGAAATTTTTAGATGCGCGCGCATCACTGTAACCCAAAAGTAACAGCATGAAGTTAGCCACGGGCGCGTTATGAAAAAATCATGTGAGTGAAATTTCGAGATGCGCGCGCATCACTGTAACACAATAGTAACACCATGAAGTTGGCCGCGGGCGCGTTTTGAATGTTAGTGTCTAATAATATTGGATTATTAACCACTAAGTGATTAATAATCCACCATTATTAGACATCTGTTCGAAAGGTACTTTGAACGATCCACGGAGCTCCATAAGATGATCGCGTTGTCAAAAACAATGTTGGCACGCTCGTCGCCTCTGATCACTGTTTTCATATTTATAATATTTATCCACATGTTTCTAGTTTCTATATAGACACAACGTGTTTTAGTTACTTACAAGTGCTAATTACATATGGACTAATAACTTAAATTCAGTAGTGATTTTAATTGAATATTTTGACTATTTATTTAATTTTTCAAATTAAAACTGAACTTAATTGACTGTGTTAACTATCCTTTTCCAGTCCTTTTATTATTTTATTGTAATTATTAATTATTTGCATGCAATTAAAAAATATTTTTAATGATGCTTCACGTTACGTTACACGCATCCATTTTTTTTCAATCAAATATAGTATTCCTATATTCTATTAAATTAATCACTCCATTCCTGAGTCGGGCACTCTGTTTAGTGCGCGTTCACACGCGACGACAATCATGTTCGAACAATCGAAAGAAAAAAGTACTCACTCTATCAAAACGAGAGGTATGTCTGTTTTCAAAATTTAAAATGGATTTTTAATTTCGCGACTTCACCATTCGGTAAAGTTTTTATACTTACAATTGTAATATATAAACTAACACCATTTTCTTTGTGTCAGGAGGTCGTCATTCAACATAGAGTCGCTTCAACATTGTGAACAATTAAGATCTACAAAAAAATGAGTTGCTTAAGCGCCAAAAAATACTCAAATCTTCACGAAACATAAAAGGATTCACGCAGAAAAAAAATCTGTATATAACTCATTTTCGACTAAAGTCGCGTATAAGCAATTTTGCCTTTCCATATGTAACAGATATTTTTTGAACCGCTTTCGTGCAGCAAATGCCTTATCTAGGGGTGTATTGTAATGATCATAGACCTAGCATATTCCCGTTTTTTTTCTTTGTATGACATAAGCTTAAATGGCATTGCCTCTTGAAAAAAAAATCATTCTAGGTGAACAGGAAGTGCAAGCAGTGGTTTTGATTCCCTTTCAAAGTCCAAAGCATCCGGCATATAATGATCAAAAACAGTAGTATCTTTAGTTTGCGATGATTTAAAAAAATCTAGATTTTCGCAGCTCAACCTATCCATATGCTATTTCCACGAGTTTCTGAGAAAAACGATGTTGATAGACAGCTAGATCACGGAAATATTATCTATACAGTATTGTAACTGGGCCCTGTCCTTGAAATAACTACCTACGGCCGCGCGGAGCTGATCCTCGCGGTAGGGCTGCCCGCCTACAGTATTTTAATTTCATCTTCATAATTGAGTTTCTTTCTAGTTTTATGATTGTAAATATTTTATTTTGACGTTATAAGTTGATAGTAAAACTCAAAAGTTTATTTTATTCTTCTTAGAGCTTTTATTTTTATTCTTATTTCATATAAATTTAATGGAGCAACGGAGCTTAACTCGCATTCGTCATCTCCTTTCATTTGATACCCATATTGTATGAGTGCAATGAAAAAATCTAGACCGCCATCTTGGGTGTTCCGCCATGTTGGATTTAGAGTGACGTCACTTTATATTTCGAGCTATTCTCCGCAAGCCCTTTAATTTGATATCCATATCGTAGGAATGCATTAAAAATAACTATTCCGCCATGTTGGATTTAGAATGACGTTTTCAGCTAACAGTGCTTTTTAATCAAAACGTGTATATACAAAATTTCAGCTCAACCGGTTGAAGATATTGCTTCAAAATAGAGTTGCAAGATTCCACCCGAACAAACATATTTACATACCTACCTATATTGCAAGTTAATTAAAAGCTTGTAAAAAACCTGACTGCTGATTTTTATTCTTACATAATTCAATAAAAGAATATTATGCTACCACGGCCCTATTAGCCGCGTCGAAATTTTCCTAGCCTTAAGCTGCAAGGCAGCGCCATCTCTTCGCATTGTAGGTAACCCACAATGTCAAATGAATACTTTTTCAAGTATTAAACATTTGAAAGAAGAAATAGCAATTGTAGTTATGATTTTATTTATATTTTAAGCATTTAACTGCTAGATGTTTAAATCTAAAGAAAACTCTTGCCTAAGCCTTGCAGCTTAAGGCTAGGAAAATTTCGACGCGGCTAATAGGGCCGTGGTAGCATAATGGTCAGTGCATTCGCCCGGATAGCGAAGGATGCGGGTTCGAGTCCCGACCGCTGCCTGGTCCGCGTGGATTTTTTTCTAGTAAACTTTTCTTTAGATTTAAACATCTAGCAATTAAATGCTTAAAATATAAATAAAATCATAAAAGAATATTATTTTAAACATACAAGTTATATTTATTTGTTAGTCATGGCGCAGTCATGTAAAAAGGTAATACCTGAAAATTTAAAAAATGAAGAAAATTACAATGTTTTTATTAAAAAAATTAAGTTAATGTTATTGAATAAATGCTATTATAGCCTCCAGGAATACCTAAATGATAAAACTACTATGGAATAAATATAACAAATACAATATTATTTTTATTATAAAAAGATATAATACAATACTTACATAATTAATAATAAAAATAAAAAATTGTACATAAATCATAAATCTAATTATACAATATCTTATTGGAGTAGTATGAATAAATAATTTTTATGAGTTTTAATTCATTGGATATAACAAATTATATCACAATAAGGAATTATGAATAAGACGTCCTCTCCTCTTGCAATTGCGATACCCTACACTACAGGGTCCATAATGCACTTTTGTCTATATGTTACCACCTTTGTATCTCCATTATGGTCTGCAATAAATGAATTGAATTGAATTAATTACCTACAATGTAGGTAAATTTTACTAGGTAGGTACTGTAGGGATCGTTTCATGCAAACTAATTATTGTCATTGCAACACTTTTATTTTCAAGAAATTACATTATTATTATCAACTAGTGGCCCGCCCTCGCTTCGCTTCGGTGTAGAGCTGTAGTGTAAACTATAGTTTTTGTTCTCAGGCTTGTGCTGCTATAAACAATGACTTTATTTATATAATTACACGTGTTATTGTGAGTCAACCATAAAAGATAGACATATGCTGTTGCGGGATATTTTTTAGACAATTTTATGTAGAATATTTCCGTCATACATGATTTCTATGTAACTTTAACCATTAAGGCTGCACACGCGACGGAAGCTTAAAAAATGGAGTAACTTCTCCCGTTTTCCCAACATTTCCCTTCACTACTCTGCTGCTATTGATTGTAGCGTGATGAAAAGTATACTATAACCTGCCCAGGAGTATGAAGAATAATTGTACCAAGTTTCGTTAAAATCCGTCGAGTAGTTTTTGTTTCTATAAGGAACATACACACAGACAGACAGACAGACAAAAATTTTACTGATTGCATTTTTGGCATCAGTATCGGTCACTAATCACCCCCTGATAGTTATTTTGAAAATATATTTCATGTACAGAATTGACCTCTCTACAGATTTATTATAAGTATAGATAACTCGAGTGGCGTAGGTATGATTCGCTTGCCGACCGTTTGTATGAAGATAGAATACTGTATATTATAATATTACCGTGGCTAGATGAACAATAAAGTTATCTTATAATGATCCGTTTCTTTATTCTTTTGAGACACCTACCTACGTTAACCTTTAAAATGAAATCGTTTCGTTTTGTTTGCTCGCTCATTAAATAGACATTATGCGTGAATACGAATACAATTTTATTTTTTTATATAGTTGCTCTCGCGTCGTTATTTTAAAAGTGGAATGGAGTAGTTTGCGCAGTGTTGTATGAAAAACGTGCTCATTTACGCGGTTAAATGTAGTTAGAGGCTTTGATACGAACGCGGTGTGTAACGAACTCGCACTAAAATGATGAACGCTAGGTAAATATCTTTTTTTTTTTCTATAATGACGCCCACATAGTTTTAATATCCAAGCTAAACCTCTTCTCGAGAGGAGCTCGGTGGCGCAGGAGGCTAGCGCGTTCGGCTGCGATCGTTGAAGTTAAGCAACTTTCGCAGTGGTCGGTCATTGGATGGGTGACCAAAAATTTACTATCTCGAGCTCCTCCGTGCTTCGGTAGGCACGTTAAGCCGTTGGTCCCGGCTGCATTTGCAGTCGTTAGCACCCACCAATCCGCACTGGGCCCGCGTGGTGGGTCATGGCCCAATCTCCCTATTCCATCCATAGGGAAGGCCTGTGCCCCAGCAGTGGGGACATTAATAGGCTGATGATGATGATGATGAAACCTCTTCTATCTCTAAAGATAGATCCTCCTTTAGATAAATTAAATCAGTCAATACGAATTATGAGTCTGAGTTTCTTGTACCAGCTTTTGATATCATATACATAATTAATGCAAGGAACAGTATATTTAAATCTAAAGAAAAGTTTTACTAGAAAAAAATCCACGCGGACCTGGCAGCTGACGGGATTCGAACCCGCACCCTTCGCGATCCGGGCGAATACACTGACCAATTATGCTACCACGGCCCTGATGGCCGCGTTGAAATTTTCCTAGCCTTAAGCTGCAAGGCAGCGCCCTTCGCATTGTAGGTAACCCACAATGTCAAATGAATACTTTTTCAAGTATTAAACATTTGAAAGCAGAAATAGCAATTATAGAAACATCTAACGGTTAAATGCTTAAAGAAATTAAAACATAACAGTATATTTATTAAAAAAAGTTTACATTTGTAGCTATGAGTGTGAATTTTTAAATTTCATAGAAGATTGCTGACTTTTTTTCTTTGAGTTGTTTATAACAAGAAAATGAACACTTATTTATTTATTTAAATCACTTTTTATTTGCTTTAGACATTGAAACCAAGTAAATTAAAATTGAGAATTAATTTATTGACCAATAACATTGAATATGAAATAGAAATAAAATTATAAATAAAAATTCAGAATATGGTCAATTAAGTCCCTGCCTTAGCATAATGCCACAACGACACCAAGGCCGCTGCGGCTCTCATATTCTGACAGGGCCTAAGTTTGACGTGAATCAAAGTAGTCATATAAATCACACAATCACGGTTAAAACACCAAAAACAAATAAATAAAAAAAATGAAAAGGCTGAGTAAATTTTTCTCTTTGCCTTAAAGGGCTTAACAACAAAATTTCTATATGAAAAAAAAAACTAAAGTTTATGAATTTACGATATTTGCCCCACCGAGATACGAACCCGAGATCTCAGAGTAGACGACGATCATGAGATCATCAAAATATTTTGCCCAAATAAGATTAAAATCGGGAAATCTTTACTAGAAATTTACGTCTTCTTAGACTTGGACGTAAAACTTTCAAACTAGGTACAAAGGCAAGCGTGAATCTATCTATATATATAAAACTCAAAGGTGACTGACTGACATAGTGATCTATCAACGCACAGCCCAAACCACTGGACGGATCGGGCTGAAATTTGGCATGCAGGTAGATGTTATGACATAGACTAGACGTCAATTCTACCCCCAAGGGGATAAAATAGGGAATGAAAGTTTGTATGAAACTTTGACAATTTTAAACCGATCGGGCTGAGACTTTGCATGCAGGCATAAGAAGAATCATAGATGAATGTCATTGTGTATAATACAAGCCTAAAAACAAAAACTGTAGTCTACACCTCAGCTCTACACCGAAGCGAAGCGAGGGCGGGCCACTAGTTGTTCATAAAGTTCTTCCATTCTAGGTGACATTCTTCAGATCGGAGTACATGACCCAAGAAGAAGCTTTGAAGCACTCCGATGGAGTTGTTGTAATTTGTTACCTCATCAAAGTAAGAATGTAATTTTTTTCAAGAAAAAAATTTATTCGTTAACTGACTATGCTACCATATCGCGACCATAATGGATGTGTCGAATTACTTCTTATTAGTATATTTATGTTGTAAGGAGCTCGATGATTCAGGTGAGTCGGCCCGTTCGGCCTGCGATCGTGGAAGTTAAGCAACTTTCGCAGTGGTCGGTCATTGGATGGGTGACCAAAACTTATTATCTTAACTTATAATCTGGTGGTACCCAACAATCCGCACTGGGCCCGCGCGGTGGGTCTAAACCCAATCTTTTTTGAGGGTTCCGTAGGTAGGTTAACCCTTATAGTTTCGTCATGTCTGTCTCTCTGTCCGTCCCCGGTTTAACTTGGAGACTGTTAGCGCTAGAGAGCTGTAGCTTTGTGGAGATACGTTTAATTGTATATCAATTATGCCGACAAAATGGTAGAAAAATAAAATCTAATGTATCCATATGGAAGGACTGTGCCCCAGCAGTGGGGACATTCTAGGCTGGTGATGATGATCTAGGAGGAGGAGGAACTAGATGGCGCAGGGGGTAAGCTCGTTCGGCTGCAATCGTTAAAGTTAAGTTACTTTCGCAGTGGTCGGTCATTGGATGGGTGACCAAAAATCTTCAATCTCGAGTTCCTCTGTGCTTCGGAAGGAACGTTAAGCCATTGGTCCCGGCTGCATCTGTAGTCATTAGCACCCGCCAATCCACACTGTCATGGCCCCAATCTTCCTATTCCATCCATAGGGAAGGTCTGTGCCCCAGCAGCGCGGAGATTATAGGCTGTTGATGTTGATCTATATTGTAGGCTGTAAGGTTTCAGAAGCACAGCTGTCAGTGTATTGAGCAAAGGATACAGGTTCGGTTTTAATCCTATACAAGAATAAACAAATAAATAAATATTCTCAACACACACACCAATTAGCCTAGCCCCAAAGTAAGCACTATAAGGCTTGTGTTATGGGATACTAGGGTAACGGATAGAATACATATACAGTATATTTATATAGAAATACATATTGAACATCCATGACTGGAGAACAAATGCTCGTATTCATCACACAAACATCTGCCCATACCGGGATTCGAAGCCGGGATCTCTCGAGTCGGCGACACCATGAAGTGTACAAACCACTCTGCCACGGAGGTCGTTGAATAGATTAGATGATTAAAAGCTAGCGCACATTGAGTCACTAAACGCCACACGCGACAACCCACTAGTTCCTTAGTGTCAGCCACTTAATTTTCCTCGATTCGATTGGTGGCTGCGTCTAGTGGCTTGACCTTAGATTAAAGCATAAAGGGAAGAAACAATACGCTCATACAAGTATCAAATAAAATATGCTCCGACAGAAAAGGGGTGATGACGGGGTACAGTAAACGAAATTCTATTTAGTCCGTCAGTTAGATGATCAAAAAATAATGGACACGTATTTTTTCTTCGGGCAATCAACCAAAAAATGACAAAGTTATAGCGCGTCAAAGTTTGGGAGTATGAGCTCGTGACATCACTTTTGAGTGAATTTTCACTTATAAGTGTACTCAAACGTGACGTCATGCGACTTTTCAAATCAATATATCTCTGCATTGTTTATATTATGTGAAAAAAGAAAAAATACGTGTCCAATACTTTTTCATAATCTACCTGATAAACGAAGAAAAAAAAATTAGTCATCATCCCTAATACATAAGCAACTCTCACATACACACACTTCTGTAAATAAACATTCAATCGAACGAGCAAGATAGAACAGTACCCCTATCACGAACCAATATCGAATTCGTATCATTTGCGAGTCCGAAATGTCATTGTCAAAATAATGTGCATTGATTTTTAGTTCCCGTTACGTCCAAAGTGACCTGCTGTTCAAGTTTCCATACAAAATTTGACATTGACATTTCGGTTTGCAAACTATTCGAATTCGATAATGGTTCGTGCTAGGGATACTGTACGCTTCAACGCGGCTCGCTCGATTGAATGTTTATTTACAGAAGTGTGCGTGTGTGAGAGTTGCTTATATGTAGTCAATTTGGAGCATATTTTATTTGACGCTTGTATGAACGTAGTGTTTCTTCCCTTTTTATTTTAATCTAAGTTCTTAACTGAGTCATTAGTGGCTCATTATGCGCTTGCTCTTATATTCAATTAACTATTTGATTCAAGTATGGAGTTGTCCCAGACGAACATTTAAGTTGGGTCATAGAAGGTTTTCCGAGAATCCGGGAAGCGAAGACAAACACTCGAATCGGACCTTATCCGATGTCCCGTCTGATGCCGATGTTCTATGAGGACTACTTTGTTTACTGGGGCGCTCTGAGGACTGTGAGAGGTGACAGCTTCGCGGTCAGGTGGCTCCTCCCAAGGATAACGCTGAGTGCTTCTTTCGAACAGGTATGGTAGGAACAAAAATAAAGTGTGCGATATACAGAACTAAAAAAAATCTAAAGAAAATAGAACTAGAAATTTCACGAGGACCAGGCATCCGGGCGAAGGCACTGACCATTATGCTACCGCGGCCCTGATGGCCTTGTCGAATTCTTTCTAGCCTGTCTTAAGCTGCAAGGCAGCGCCATCTCTTCGCATTGAAAGTAACCCACAATGTCAAATGAATATCTTTACAAGTATTAAACATTTGAAAGAAGAAATAGCTAACATCAAAGATCACAAGACAGATATGAATACACTAAAATTAATAAACACACCAATGTAACGGATTCTTAGTTAAAATTATCACGTTGTTAATTATATTATGCCTCCACTATTGGGATATAAGCTGCTTATGCACGCAGTGGGAAAAATGGGCTATGAGCCTTCGGTTAGGCCCAATCTGGTGGGTGGAAATGATTGAATGTATGGAATGGAAATTCAACTGGGATCAACGACTTAACGCGGCTGGTATTGGTACAACTGGTAAATCTTTTATAATTTGTAATCACAGAAGAGTTTAAGATTTACCAGTTGGATTTACCATAAAGTTACTAAACATCCACAATCGCAGACTGAACTCACTAATCGCTACGCCATCAAACTCATTCATATTCAAATATGAGTAAATGTATGTTCGGCAGTAACTTTGTTGTTCGATAAATAGTGCCAAACCGACTATGCCGAACCAAGTATATAGAAAAATCAAAAATGAAGTAAAACATAATCACGGGAAAAAAGAAATGACATAATATGCTTTGGACTTTTATTTGGCTAGCATTAGCTGCCTAGATAAACGTCTTACAGCAAATGTTCACGGACTTGACCAATGCCGTATTTGGCAAATTACATAATTTCACGAAAACACGTTTTGACGAATTACCAATTTGTGCAATTTTTAATTTGACGATTTGACAAATGTCTTAACACCACTTTTTTTTAAATTTCTATTTTCAGATGAAAGAGTTTCGTAAGCTCTGGGATCCGTGGGATGAGCCGAATTTACGAAACTACAGGCCCTTGCAAGACAAGCAAAATAGGCATGTCTTCTTCATTCGTCCGCATTGGAGCCAGTACAACACGTTACTGCCGATACCCAGGTTGCCGCAGCCTTCATTGTCTGTGCTATCGCCTGCGTACCAGGCCAACTTGTGGATGCTGCCACCACAAAATGCTTATATGATGGCTTCAGAACCTGGGCCCCAGGTGGAAGAGGCAGTTCAAACGAAGGACGATGATTAAAAATGATTAAAATGATCTTGTCAAAAATTTCTTGTAACGTTTTGACAGTTGAATGTATAATTGAACCTGAAAGTCTTCATAATAACTAAGCTTGCAGTGCAATAATAGATTTTCCATCTAAATATTTTAGAAAATTTTACGTTTCGAGATTTAAGGTCGATTCAAAAACGCTTTTCTATTAAATGTGTAACAGTATTATTATCATTGTATTTTTTACTCAAATAATCTTCTTCTATATAAATAAAAATTAATCGCTGAAATTTATGTATGCACACAACTTTTGACGAACTGCATCAAATTGCGAAATAATAATGTTCAGTACGCAGCCGGTAAACATTTATTTCAGACTTTATATCCACATACAAGTGTTAGTAACAGACGAAATCTTATTCTAGTGTTAGTAAATGAAAATTACAATCGAACACTTTATTCAAATCAACCTAACAGTTTGGCAAAACAGTATAATAATTTCTAAAATTCTCAATAATAGGACCGTGCGAAGCCAGGTGGGTCACTAGTCATTCATAAAACCTATTACTCACAAAATCTTTGGTAGTGGCAATGATAATATTCAATGATAAGTTTGGTCCCGCCATTTGGGCGATTTAGGTACTATTCAGGAAATGAACAAAAGCTATCCAGGAAATGAATAAAATCTTCGTCGTTTGGTCAAAATAGGAAAAGAAGATTTTGTATCTATCGAAAATAAATTATTCCAAGCAGTCGGATATCAGGAGACAGATATAAGAGATGATTTCATATTCAATAAAACTAGTTTTTTACGGGTTAATGCACGAAACTTTATTTAATGAGTGATGTGCGTGAAAACCTAAGAAACAGATTTCATATTCATTTTAAAAAAAAGAACTTATTTAATTTATTGGCATCGACCTATTTCTCTTCTCTACCCATCATAAATATCTCTCCATTTACTAATTAACAAAGTGATAATACATTTTTAATACTGTAGTAGTGATTTGGAACGAGCATTCATAATGCCGAGGAAATCGATGGCGTAGGTGGTTAGCGCACAGGTTTCGCACAGTCACGGTAATAATATCATACAGTATTCTATCTTCATACAAACGGTCGGAAAGCGAGTCATACCTACGCCACTCGAGTTCGATGTGCTCTCGGCGGGCACCCAGTCGCGAATGCGCCGCCGCGCCGCAACGACGACCGAACGGTCTGAATTGTTTTTATGCAGTTAGCCGTGCTTCAACGTGCGTTTTGTATTGTAGATATTTGATTGAATTAAGTAGATACCTACATAATTTAGTATGGAAAAGAACAAACGACGATCAATATCGTACAGCAGCACAATTGCTGTTTTTGATTGCTTGAACTCTTCAATAATACACCCAGAGATATCATTTTTTAAATTATCTGAAATATTGGAAAGGTGTCTTACCTTTACAGAATATTTTTTATATGTACCTACCTACTAGTACGTAATTTGTTTCTAATATTTAGTAGGTATTTCGATTTTTCCATCGGGAAAAATATCTGGAATAATATAAATAAGTGGTTAGGATGAAAAAAGAGACAAACGAGTAATCTACCTATACTCGCGTTAAAAACAAAACTACATAAAATACTGTAGGCGGGCGGACCTACCGCGTGCTAACGCACCGCTCGGCCGTAGGCATTTATTTCAAGGACAGGGCGGAGTCACAATACTGTATAGATAATATTACCGTGCCACAGTGGAAATGTGACCAAAAACTTATTATCCCGTGCTCCTTCGCGCTTCGGACTGCATGTTAAGCCGTTGGACCCGGCTGCATCTGCATTCGTTAGCACCCACTTATCTACACTGCGCCCTGGGTGGATCACGGCCTAGTCTTACTATTCCATCCATAGAAAAGCCCAGTGCCCCAGCAGAGCAGACATTAATAGGCTGATGATAATGATTCTTAATGCTTGTGCCAAATTACTACAGCAGCTAAGACCATCAGAAGTTATTCTGTAGCAACATCAGACAATGGACTGCTCGAGTATGTTGGTGAAAGATACATCTTGTTTACAGGTGATGTATCAGGCAATATGCTTATTTGATTATTTTCTATACAGATATTTCTATATGTAGACGTAGAAGACGAAGCCGGACTAAAGTCTAAGGACAAAGCCTCTTCTTCAGCACGAGTAACCGCCTCAAACATTTCTCTTTGCACTCGCAGTTGTAAGTATGTTGGAAGCTCTCTAGTCTTCTGGTATAAACTAGTAAACAAGTTAGAAAGTGCATCTCGCTGACAACGTTCAGTGTCAATAATATTTCTTCTCCATTGATCCCTTTCGGATTGCTTTTGCTCTCGTCTTCTTTCTCTTTGTGAAATTGTAATTGAATCTTCCGTATCGAGCTTGTTTTGATTTCTTCTATCAGATTCTGTAGAGCGAGGAATTAGAAGTGTGCCGGGGGTTTCGGTAGGTGAAGCCGGCGATCTCATGTCATTGTTATTTGTGCTTGTTTCTGAAGCACTGAGTGATGTTGGAGTTCCGATTTGGGAATCATTTGAGACATTCAAATAGCTAGCTCTACTTTCTACTTGTGGTAGTAAGAATTCCATTTCGGTTTCGTATCGCCAGGGTTTGAAGTTTTGCGCGGCCTGAATCGTGCAAGTTTTGCGACGCCGCATGGCTTCTCTGTGGCTATCGCGCAATTTCTTCCACACTGCCTTTGCTTCCCTGCCTGTAAATAGTACATCCATTAAGTTATAATAGTGTTTCAAGATTAAATCTGTTTAATCTAATATATAAAATTCTCGTGTCGCGGTGTTTGTGGTTAAACTCCTCCGAAACGGCTTTCCCGATTCTCATGAAATTTTATGTGCATATTGGGTAGGTCTGAGAATCGGACAACATCTATTTTTCATTCCCCTGAATGTTAAGGGAAATCCACCCCTAATTTTTTTTTAATTTTTTTATGATACATCATACAAAAATACATACATCCCGAAATTTTCAACTTTCTACCACCAACCCCTATTTTTTTATGGCGGTACGAAGTTTGCTGGGTCAGCTAGTTTAGGTATATTACTTGCAGGGTTGGCAGAACAACGGTGTTTTAGTGGGTACTTAAGAGACAGTTAAAATTAATACATATTCAACTCTCATATTAACAACTCAAGAGCGCCACATTTGACCTTCGATGGGTCTACAGAAATTTTGTAGATGGGACAAGGTTGGCACACCCGGGTCTGAGATGTTCTCCGTAAACATTAAAAATCTGTAATCTACTATATACTAGTTAACCGTTTTAGGTTTCCATACCCAGAGGGTAAAACGGGACCTTATTACTAAGACTCCACTATCCGTCTGTCTGTCTGACTGTCTGTCTGCCTGTCTGTATGTCTGTCATCAGGCATATCTCATGAACCGTGATAGCGGGACAGTTGAAATTATCACGGATGATGTATTTTTGTTGCAGCTATAACAACAACGATAACAACAACAAATAACTAAAAACAGAATAAAATATAAAGGACAATGGGCAAAACACACCCAGCCCCGCCAATAGTGTAATTAGTATGAATCGATAGATCTATGAAAAACTAGCATTTTTTATTATGTCACCGAAAAAAAATATCCTGGGAGTCAAAAGATATGACACCCTAAAAATATCCTGGTAGTCAATATATATGACACATGGGCATATTTAAGTAGCTGAATAAATTCATTTTATATTATTAGTAATCATAATAATATGCCATATCGTACTATACAACCAGATATACGACAACGCCTGCCGACCATCCTGCGCTTGCTCTTACTGAGATACCTCAAAACGGTTTACGGGGGTTGCAGGACTTGTAGTTGCAAACAGTCGACTCGTCTTACTTCGCTGTGAATGTGCGCTCCCTGCTACTTGATTGATTTTTAACTAACACGCTTTGGATATAGGAACACGACTATCGGTTTTGTCAATTAGTATGGATGAACTGGAATCATGTGTTCTCCGAAGCGTGGACAAGTTTGTGTAATCTGTGGTCGCTCCGTTTTACATAGAAGACAATTTACTATAACGAACAGAATGTTTAAAAAAACCCCAACCCATGCGGGGATTTTTGGATTTACTCTAGCGCGGCAGAATAACATAAGGTAGTAAGTACTCCCATAATACCTGAGCACACTATGTAGGGTCAAACTGACTAACTTAATTAATTCCCTTGTTTCATTAATGCTCGTTCGTTATAGTACTTGTACCTATTTAACTCAAAATAACTAAAGACCCCCGGGATGGAATTTGATGCGCTTTGGCAAAGATGATCTTGACTGTAATACCTTTCAAACAAATGTAGTTTAAGCCGTGGCGGGCGTGGGTGCAGCGTCCATACATTTTTGCCCAATGTCCTTTTGCATTTTATTTGTAAAATAAAAATTCAACAAACGTGATTTTTTTTGCTCGATATTAATAACGGCAACAGGTAGACGCTTGAAATATGCTCAGAATATTTACTTAGTTGTATATTCACTTTAAAAATAGTTAATCAAATTAAAACAACTATTTAAAGAATGATGCCATATAACGGACGTGAATTTTTTGCTCGATATTAAAATATCCAAATTACAGTGTATAGGTACTCTATACTTAAAACAACATTAAAAGGACTGTACATTTGATAGCGTTAAAGAAAGTTGTCGTTAAATGGAAAGAAGAAAACTCTGAATTATGAAAAGAAAAAGTTCATTTCAAGCTAGTAGGTAGTTACGTAAATAAAAAAATAATCTTATTTGAACGCTATTACGTATATTCTGTTATTTTTGTCTGACGTCCTTTGCTGTAATTTTGTTGTATAATAGTTTTTTTAGCCATGGTCAACAACAGTCTACACGTGCAAGCCCAATTTGTAAACAATAGAACGAATTTCTTGTGTCCGTGATGGTAGCGTGCCCACGATCAATATACGGTTTTTAGTAATGCCATTAAATACTGCGTAAATAGTGCCAAAATAGTGTAAAATAAAAAAAAAATGTGCCTCGTTAATTTAAGAAATGAAGACCATTTTTATTGTGTACGCTAGCATGACGTCAAGCTAGCGTACCCATGGTCGTCCCCAAGAACGGCACATAAAAACGAAATTGACACACAAAAACAGTTTGCAAATAGTGCCATGGCTTTACAAAATTTCATAAGCAATGCTCTTAAAGGACCAAAGATATTGATCTAAACATTCTTAGCTGGCGTCAACCTGGAAAAAGAAAGTTTGGTTTGCATGATGCCGGCAGTCGAGTTTATTACGGGCTAGGATAATAAAGCGACAAAAGATCGCACACAGCTGCGCGTTTTTCACTAATTTTGGTAACTTAAAAGGTACTTTTTGAAGTGAAACTTCTTTATCGGCGTTGGAAAAAAATTTACCGTCACATTTTTCGGTTACGCGTCACATTTTTCCGTTACGCGCCATCTTTTTTTATATTAATAGTTGATAGCTGAATGATCACACATCACACTGTCGCCGGCGAGAACTCTCTCTACTCGTTTGTAGCTGAGTGACAATAGTTATTAAAGATAAGACTCGCTCAGCCAAACTCGCATAGCGATACTCGCTCAGCGATACTCGCTCAGCGATACTGGCTCAGCGATACTCGCCCAGCGATACTCGCCCAGCGATACTCGCCCAGCGATACTCGCTCAGCGATACTCGCTCAGCGATACTAGCTCAGCGATACTCGCTCAGCGATTCTCGCTCAGCGATATTCGCTCAGCGATACTAGCTCAGCGATACTCGCTCAGCTATACTCGCTCGGTTAAGCTGGCTTGGCTGTCAAAAGCCGTGCGCGTGCATTTTAACTCAGGACTGCCAATTCGTTTCTAGTTTCTACTCGCTTATCGTTCATCGTCGGAGGTGGAACATGTGCCTTAGATTACTGAGCCGTGTAATCATAACAGTTTCATAGGTAGTAATTTGTATTCATGTCTATGATAATAAAATCCTTTTGTTTAAACTTTATCTAATTTAACTTTATTTAACCAATTTCTGGAAAGTTGCATGTAGATCATTTTTCGAAAAATAAGGCCATAAAGAAGTTTCACTTCTTACGTGTGTACACTAGTACACGCACACATTTTTTATTACATAATTGTTGTCGTTATTGAGAGTGGGTGTAATGCTATATGGAGTGTATCATTGTATGGGAAACAAACTAAACCAACCAAAGAAAGACGAGTGAGTGATTTCGACGCATTAGGGAGTTTGTCGTTAAATGGAGTTTACACTGTATATTACAATATCGCAGTGGCGGACTAACAGGGGGGCGGAAGGGGCGGCCAGCCTCAGGCTTCCGATTTTGGGAGCCCCCAAATGCCTCCGCGTTCCCCTGATCGCATCCTAAACTAGACTTTAAAAATATGCTTAGTACCTACATAATTTCATCAAGATCAAAACACTACAGCCATCTAGACTTTTTACGCGGTACTAATATTCTTTTAACTTCGCTGAACGCGTCCAATACGCTGGGGCAATTCCTGTCTCTGCAGCGGGTACTTCTTCAGGTACCCCTGAATGAATGAAGTACAAATAATTCACTCTTATACGCCTACATTTAATAACATTCACTATATTTACGTTGAAAAATAAACATTGGCCTCTTTTAAAATCCGTTCAAAGTAACCTCATTAAAAAGTGTAATAGTGCTTTTGATTTTTGTTGCGGTATAAAAGTAAATGACTTTGGAGTTGAGTTAGTGCATTTTTAAGTATTTGGAAAAAGTAAATAATTCTTCGTATAATTTAGCCTAGAAATTATAATCCGTAGTTTCTAGTCAATATGCACCATATTGTAGGTATGTATGTTTATTTAGCTTAAATAATTTAATTGGAATTTAAATTTCACTCGCCAGATATTAACGAAACAAACTAAGAAACTACATTTTTTATTTAAAACTGGGGGGCCTCATTTTGCCGCCCCGGGCCTCTGACGAGCTTAGTCCGCCACTGCAATATCGCTTTCGTCATCAGAAACGTTATTTGAATGAACCCTCCAGTAGCTCCTATTCAAAAGACTGACGATTTGGACGCCACCAAAAGTCATAGCCGATTGCAGTGTCGTATTTTTTTTGCTGCCCTAGACGGTCGACCCCAAGGTGAACCCTAAATAAAATGTTCACCTAAGGTAGGTTAGCTCACGACTTATCGCGAGTATGAACACAGCTGAACTGACTGCTTGTCCAGGGATCTGGATTTATGTAAAGAGATGGTTAACAAAAACTCTCCTACACGTTTCAGGGAAATGGCACAAAAAATGAGGGCTATCGCGTATGAATCCGCCGCTAGAGGCGCTAGTGTAGCGTGAGGTCTCCGAAATGTCAAATGTTATTGCTAGTTGGTTGACTACGCGGGTTTATTTCTCAATTAAAATAATGTTGTGAATAATTGGTAACAATTCGGCTTAATTATGGCAAATATGAGTTGTGGCAATGAATGTCAGTTATTAAAAATTTGAGCTTAGAAAAATGATTATGTTCTCATTTTTTCCGAATAAAACGGAACTGGGCGTCACTGTGGCATGGCCTATTATGTTTAGGATATGGTTCTTTTGTGTTAAAATACGATCTAAATGTAACCTTTGATTTCATGTGCGTATTAATAAACTTTAAAAGTTACAATTTAGGACCTCATTCAACAGTGGCGCCATCTGGTGAGACAGAAAACGGTAGCCCTCATTGTCTTATTAATTAAGGAATAGGAATAAAGAGTTTACAATAGGTTATATGGCTTACAAATAAAATGAACATTATCTTAATGGCTAAGGATGAATACTTAACCTAAACAACAATACAATACAATGTAAAAGAAGGGTAATAAAATATTAAGACTATACAATACAAAAGACACATTAATAAGGATATAATATAAATGGGTTTCTGCAAATATTTAGAATAGTAGATAATGATTTTGGGATCGTCGATGGCGTCCAGATGGTTGGCCCTGACAGTAATTGTGGAATGGCGGGAATGTGGAAGTTATGGTGTGATTGGTGTGATAACATAACACTCTTATGTTGTTCTGCCACGATTGAGTAAATCACAAAATCCCCGCTTGCGCTCTCTTACTTTATAATAATAATATTTCCAACACTAGGCCCGAAGTAAGCACTGTAGTAAGGCTTGTGTTATGGGATACTAGGGTAAAGAATAGAATACATAATATACTGTACATACAATAAGTATATTTATATAGAAATACATATTAAACATCCATAACTGGAGTACAAATGCTCGCATTCATCACACAAACATCTACCCCCACCGGGGATTCGAACCCGGGACCTCTCGAGTCGTCGACACCATGAAACCCGGCGTACAAACCACTCGGCCACAGAGGTCGTCAAATTATTAACATTACTAAACTTATAATCGTCAATTTTATTATTACTTAGGTACCCCTATTTCTAAATTAACACTTTTAAATTAACCAAACTTATTAAGAGGTACCTAGTCATTTAAAAAATATCTAAGTTCTTAAACGTTAAATAAATAATTAATCGTTTTGACTCACCATTTTCTATTCCGCATTCCTTGGCAATACGTTCCCAAGCTGAATCCTTCTTAACAATATCTCTATAATGCAGATGACCCGTATCCCACAAACTCGGGCATAGCTTTACTTTTTCTATGAAATGTTCCATGGCGGCGCGAACCAACACGTGCACTCGGACGTACCATTGATGTGAAGCTAAGCTACGCCCCCGTCCCTCCGTGTACCGCGTTGGTTGCGTGTACATAGTGTCGTAAACATCGTAGCTGCGTGCGTGGGGCAATGCCGGTGACGCATGGACGCAAGAATGACGGCTATACAAAGACATTAATATTAATCTCTTTGCAGCCATATTACTAACGATTACTAACATTCTTGGAGAACACAAGGAGAAATTACGTTGTGGATTTAAAAGAAAAATAGTTATATATAGATATACTCATTCTGTTTTTGTTTTGATAAGGGAGGAAGGTTTTGATAAGTGTCTTATAGGAGGTACATACCCAATTCTATATTTTATCCTCAACTTTTCGTGTAAATGCACAATATTATTGATATAAGTACATGTAGGTACATATTAACATAATTTGAAGTTGGACTGAATTCTTAAGCTTCACATCTCAGATTTCATTAGTGTTTATTAGTGACAGCGCCATCTGTTTTTATATTCAGATAACACATATTATACTCTGGGGTTTGCTTTCATGTTCATGCTGAAGAAAGCATGCTGCATTGGAAAAAAATCCAAAGTAATTTTATTTTAATATTGCATTCGTAGGTACCGCGATCAGTAATATTTAGGGGTGATTTCTGTTTGACAAACTTCATACATAAAGACAATTTAATTTTTAAATATTAAAATTATCCTCTGTTCGCATCGCTCAGCTGATTTTGTTTGTATGTCAAATTGACAGGCAACCAATGATGCCAGATAAGGGTATTAATCCGTCATTTTGGCGGAATAAATTCTTTGGCGGAGTTGGCGGTAATAAATTGAACTCGGCACATTTTTGGCGAGAAGGATAGTAAAAGAAATATCAATGAAGAAGCCTCAAAGTGAAGTTTCATACCATATGAATGTACTAGTAGCCGCCGCGACGACTTTGTCCGCGTTAACTTTTTTTTATGAGAATCCAACTGGAATCTACAATTTTTCCGAGATGAGAGTATCTTATGTATCAATCCAGTCCGGATATGTTTGTGTATTTGTTACTCAGTTACGCAAATCTAATGACTAGATTTGGATGAAATTTGGTGCGTATATTATAGTTTGTGTCTTATTGACATTGGCAGAATAGGCTAGTTGACTCATGTCAAATTGTATTACACATATGTTTGTTTCTTATAATTTTTGGTATGCGGAACCTAAATACATCGATTTTACTTCATAAAATTAGAAGGTGGCTGTAGTAATTTTATTTTGACAAATTGTTTTTTAATCTATGCTTTTTAACACTAAAAATGTTGTCCACCATGATTGTGATGTCACCAAATTTCTAAATAACTTAACGTCATTATCATGTTACTGTAGTTTCTTTCGGACTGAAATATATCTAAAAACTCTTATATCTTACAGAAAAGTTTCTGTTTATTGGTTATTTTGACCTAAATAATACTAGACAACGGATTGGAGAAAGCAGAAATGACAAAACGCTTTGACTTAGTAGGTACATTCATAACCTCAAAAATTGTATTTTTAAACTTTTAAATATTATTCAATGCGTACTCAGCGAAGTGATATTTGCTAGAAGAAATGACTTTCAGTCGATGAAGTTACAGGATTTGGCATTTTTTTAAAATGTGTTTATGTGTAGGTATGTTTATTTCTCTAGGCAATTGAAACCACAAGTTTTCTGTGAAGTCTTTAACAATGTGTTTCTATATTGTCGTATAGTACAACCATGATAATTATTATATTTTCCACAATCTATTAGAAATCATGGTTTTATGATATAAATTATTTCCTACGTGCTCGCAAGTGTTTGTTTACAAATGTTTTGTCGTCATAGCATAGATTAATATAGTATAGACTAAAATGGCCGACAGCGTTTTTGTATGTCCTTGAAAAAAATGGTTGCCTGTAAAGTCGGTTTTACGGGCGAAGATTTTACGTGACAACGTCTTTTTCTCGGTAGAATATTTATTGATATGAATATAATTAAATTGCACAATAGGAACAAGAAATTGAATGAAAATAAGAATTGCACAAATTTTAACTATAGAAATATATTTTGTTTACTAAAACATTGTACATGTAAACTCAAACTTAACACGAGAGACTCATCGTAACGTTACCGAGCGTTACACTTTTTCATAAGTGACTCCCAGCCGCAACCTAATTTAAGACGTTGTCACGTCAAAACCTATTTTAAAATTAAAGTTTTGTAGCTTTTTAGGTAAAAAAAAATACAATACATTTTTTCGGTCTAATAGAAAAATTATTAATCATTTAAAACATATTTCCAAAAAATGTCAACTAGCCTATTGTCCCAATACACACCAGTCAACCTAAACAAAAATAGAATAGAATCGTCCAATAGTTAAAAAAAAAGTTTCTTTTTAATTATTTCTTTATATTCTTTTTGTGGTGATCTTTGAATAAACATACTTAATTAAAAAAACGTCCATTTATTTGTCAAAATAAGGTTTGGTGGTTTATTTTAAGAAAATATATCATTTTGGCGTCAAATATTTTTCAATTCGGCGTAAATCAGAAAATCGCTTCGGGCAACCCTGAGACAAGCTGTCAAAAAGTAACCTCGAAATGTATCGAACACAAACAGTCGGGCAGTTTTCTTTCTTTCTTTAGTTTGTTCCGTAAAAATGCTAAGGAACCTATTTCGTACCAGCCGGTGGCTGGCACATAACCGAATCGATATTTTTGCGCCAGTTTTAATACGACACATCTCTCGTGTTGGAACCTCCGAAATTACGTATATTCAATCAAATCCAATTCGCAATCTTTCTGCTTCCCCATCGGATAAACTTGAAACATCTGAACATATTGAACCGGCAGTGTTTGAAGATATCTGTAATGAGACACTGGAATCCCTGTGTGAATATTTTGAGGAAATAATAGACCAGTCGCCCAATTTAAAGGGCGCTGATGTTACATACAGTGTGAGTACCTACAAATTTATATTTTCAACCTTATAATTGCCTTTGGTTCTCCTTCTTCAAAACACAACCAACTATATTATAAATGGCTAAAAGAAAAAGTTTAATAAACCCATACATTGGCAGAATCGTCACACAATGAGACGCAGCCGTAACAAACAAAAATTGAATTCAATTCATCATCATCATCATCATCATCATCAGCCTATTAATGTCCCCACTGCTGGGGCACAGGCCTTCCCTATGGATGGAATAGGGAGATTGGGCCATGACCCACCATGCGGGCCCAGTGCGGATTGATGGGTGCTAACGACTACAGATGCAGCTGGGACCAACGGCTTAACGTGCCTTCCGAAGCACGGAGGGGCTCGAGATAGCAAATTTTTGGTCACCCATCCAACGACCGACCACTGCGAAAGTTGCTTAACTTCAACAATCGCAGCCGAATGCGCTAACCACTTGCGCCATCGAACTCCTCAAATTGAATTCAACTGTTAATAAATAAATGCACCAATGACTGCACTCAGAGACAACAATCAAGTTTTAAGCGTAATAAATGTTGAAGCTTGCACTTTCTTTGTGTTAACATAGAATAAGGCAACACATCACTGACAAGCATTGTAGTAATTTGCCATCGTTGGGTGCAGTGGTAATCAAATCATTGCATGCTTCCGATTGATAACACAATGCAGTAAATCACACTTTTCACTTCACTTTCACCCTGATGAATAACATATTTTAAAATTGTTATCGAAATAAAAGATAAATCATATTCCTCATGACTCTTTCTGTCGATTGTTTTTTGTTATTTGGATGATAGCTACTTCATTCATGGGTTGTACATGTTTGTAAAAGTATTAATAATAGGGGTGATGACAGGGTAAAGTAAACAAAATTCTGTTTAGTTGGTCAGTTAGATTATCAAAAAATAATGAATGTGTCTTATTATTTCTTTTGTCAATCTAACAAAAGATGATAAACACAGAGTATGTTAAAGTATTGGAGTTCCTGATGTTGAAAATTGTAGTAAGACGTGTAGTTTTGTGACATTTCAAATCATTAAATCTCTGTAATGTTTTGTGCAAAATTTTTTGATAATCTACCCAATAGATGTAGAAAAAAAAGTTAGTCATTATCCTTATTTGCCATCTAGTAACAAAATAGGGATGATGCCTAATTTTTTTTTCTTCATTTATCAGGTAGATTATCAAAAAGTATTGGACAAGTATTTTTCCTTTTTTCACATAATATAAACATTGCAGAGATATATTGATTTGAAAAGTTGCATGATGTTACGTTTTGGTACAATTTTCACTTAAAAGTGACGTCAAGAGCCGCTACTCCCAAACTTTGATGTGCTATAACTTTGTAATTTTTTGGTTAATTGCCCAAAGAAAAAATATGTGTGCATTATTTTTTGATCATCCAACTGTTGGACTAAATAGAATTTCATTTACTGTACCCCGTCATCACCCCTATTGTGTTAATAATATAGGAAATTGGAGAATTATTCATTTATAATGTGTCTAATTTTATGATACATTAATCAGTGCTAAATTGCCAATTTATTAATCAAATTAAAATCAATAAGGTTAAAAATATTAAGCATTTATTTTATTACTATTTCAGGATGGAGTTTTAACCATTTCACTGGGATCACAATACGGTACATACGTTATAAACAGACAGACACCAAACAAACAGATCTGGCTTAGTTCACCCGTGTCCGGTCCGAAGAGATACGACCTCGTGCTGAAAGACGGAGGCTACTGGATTTACAAACACGACAGTGTTGCTCTACATAAGTTGTTACAAGACGAAATATCAAAAATTGTTGACATTAAGATAACTTTCAATAAATGTGCACATAGCTTAGTATAATAGTTAATTGTTTTTGTTTTAATTTATTTGTTTTTTTTTTTTGACAAAAGTATATAGGTTTTATTGTTTGCTTTTTTGTTTTATTTTTACTAACACAAAATGGAGGTGATTGAGGATGGTAATATTATGGACAGAATACCAATCTTACTACAGAGGGACTTGGAATATTATCAGGTACGTAATATAATTAAGTGAGACTAAGAGACTTTTCATTTCTAAGTATGATATTTATGACATACAAGTCATATCGGCCATTTATGAAGTTAAACTTATATTTTTTCTTATAACCTGTATATTTCGAAAGAAGAATGTTTTTATAAAAGAGGAGCTGGCGAACAAAACGATATAATTCCGAATCTGGTCAAACTACATTTTTTTGCAGTCCGGAGATTTTGGGCCCGTTGAATTTGAATCCTAAATAATTTTCAATGAAAATCGCCTTAAACAGTGATAAGATTACTAAATATATAAATTAAAAACCATGCAAAATGCTGACTGTAGGAATGTCATCGAGTTTTATATAGCTCTTGTAAAATTTAATTTTATGTAATTACTAGCTGACCCAGCGGACTTCGTATCGCCATAAAAATAGGGGCAGGTGGCAGAAGAGAAAATTTAGGGTTGTATGTATTTTTTAATAACACATTATAAAAAATAAATATTGACCACAAAAAATTTTAGGGGTGTGTAACGTAGTGTTCTATCAATTTCCTGGGATAACATTCCTCCTAACTTATATGAGAACACTACGTTATAATACCCAATAGTTTGAATTTTCCCGCGAAGGCGCGTTGTAGGTTTCAGAACACTACGTTGGAGATGGCCAACCATTATCCCTTAAGGATATGAAAAATAGATAGTAGCCGATTCTCAGACCCACGGAATATGCATATAAAATTTCATAAAAATTGGTCAGTCCGTTTCGGATGAGTATGGTAACTAACACTGTGACACGAGAATTTTATATATAAGATACTGTTTTGTTCCCCAGCTCCTCAAATGTGACCTAATCTTTTCAGACAAACCAGACGGTTTTGTCTGAAACCGTCTGCCCCAGTGTAGTAGGTGGCCGGCTGGACTTCCCACGTAACGCCTCATTCGCAGCTGTGAAAATAGTATTGTGGTTGGAAGAGGAATTCTCCATTGCTTTCAAGTAAGTTACCTCGCGCAGATCTCACAATGCTGTTGCACACAATCACGCTTGGTCTGCGATTGTAAAAATCAAGTAATTATTTGTAATGGCTGATCATTGGATGAGTAATCAAAAAATTATATTATTACCCCACCTAATGTTAAGTGATGGTGAAGTTCAGACGTGAAGATAGATAGTACAGCAGTTCTACCTGCCACACCAGCCATCCTCACCTTGCCGGCCTGCATGTTGCTTCTTCACGCCTCTTTTACAGGATCCCAGGTTGTAAGGAGGGAACACGTAAGCAGGCAGAGCATTCCCTTTACGGATAGTGCGACAAAGAAATGAGTCACCAAATTTCTTTGTACGCGTTGGAATTGTGGCCACAGTTAGACGGTGACAACGAAGGTCAACGCGCGTGGTCCTCAGAAGGAAAGGGGAAGGTGGAATAAGAGAGAATACCTAGAATAGCCTACTAATCCGTAGGGTTATTAACGATCTCGATGATGACGATGGAGGAGCTCTATGGCGCCAGTGGTTAGCTCGTTCGGCTGCGGTCGTTGATGTTGAGCAACTTTCGCAGTGGTGGGTCATTGGATGGGTGACCAAAAATTTACTATCTCGAGCTCCTCCGCGCTTCGGAAGGCACGTTAAGCCGTTGGCCCCGGCTGCATCTGCAGTCGTTAACACCCACCAACCCGCACTGGGCCCGCGTGGTGGGTCATGGTCCAATCTCCCTAATCCATCCATAGCGAAGGCCTGTGCCCCAGTAGTGGGGACATTAATGGGCTGATGATGATGATGATGATTAACGACCAGTTCCCGGAGGCAAATGGGAGTAAAAATCTGAACTTTTATCCTAGTCGCCCCCCGAGGGGATTTCTACCGGAGACAATTGGGAATGAAGTCATTGTGTCCATAACACTTTTATTCCTATTTGCCTACGGTGAGAATCCACGCGGGGCCAATGAGGTTATACGCTCTGTTCGGTGTTCTATTGTTCTGTGGCTCCTCCTTTACTTTTTGGATTACACACTAAAGGTGAACCCAGACTTGGCCGCACCGCAGTCTCCACAGTCCCCCGCAGTCATCGCTTTGTGTTAATGGCCTCGCACATCTATCCGCACCGCAGTCACTGCAGTCGTTCCCGTCGCCGCATGCATCGAACTTGATTTCATTCATTCAGTTGATGCGAATGACGTCATCCGCGCCGCGCTTGCCGCAGCGTCCGCTGCGTGCGGGCCGGCGTTGGTGACGTCATCAGCTGCGGCTTGGGGAGTTCGGTCGTTTCAGGGACTGCGGCGACTGCGACGCGGGCGGGTGTGCGAGGTTGCATAGAACTTCATATAAAGAACTGCGGTGCGGCCATGTTTGCGTTCACCTTAGAGGGGAGGTGCGCAGTGTTTTTTCTATACAGACGTTCTCGACTGTTTCCTTGATTTTAATTACTAAAGAACACGGACCTAAAAAAAAGACGGACGTAACCTCGTCTTATCACGAGTGAAGCATGCAAATGGCCGCCCGTTTACCGTGTGTGCGTGATTTGAGGGTTGTCATATAAGTCATCAATTTCCCTATTTTTTAATGTCTCAAACTAAAATATTGTTAACACTATGTAGGTAATCCCGTTATTGTAATATGTATTTATTACAATAACGGGATATTTACCATGTTTTTATTAGATGTAAGCTCACTATATTTCAGCAATTTAAACGGGTGCACTTTAGAAACATAATGTGGGCCTATCAAACATCATTTTTATGACGACCGTTAGAAAAATGAAAACACTTGCTACGTATAAAGAAATTTCGGCTGTTGATTGTTTTCTTTTCCTCTAATATTTGTCGATATCTTAAAAAACGTAAATAACGATATTAAATTTTGCATTAAAATTCAATAGTTAAGTATCTTGTTCATAAAATTCTCAATACCTGCGGTATAGGTGGAGAAGTGCTTTGTGTTTGTGTTTCTGGAGAGTTTGAAAATAACTGCAAGTAATAAGATAAATAAGAATGAAAGCCGCCAAAGAACAATAAATTATAAACAAATAGTACAAAACAGTATCTCAATCTTACCCTTTTTGGAATGGCGTACGAAACCAAACTACGTAGGCCCTTAGTTGTATTTTTAAAATCTAAATCATCAAAATGTGCATAGTACTGGCAGGTGATGGGTTCTAATTGTTATACCCTCTGCAGTATCGAATAATTAAAAGCCAGTCATTTCTACGTTTTCTATTTCTAGAAATCCTATTAGAAAGGAGGCAATACAATAATTTGAAACACATATACAAAAACAGAACACAGAAAGACAGGCCAACTAGGTCCCTGCCTCAGCTTAATACTACAGCAACACCAGGGCTGCTGCAGCGCTGATAATTCTGGTAGGGTTGACGAGACATTTTTAATTTAATTATAAAACAAGGTTAGAACCATACCAATCAACAAGCCAATAAAAAAATAACAACATAGGCTGAATGCTTTTAGTATCTTCAGCCTTAAAACAAGAGAAATGAATTTATTAAAAAATAAAATAAAAATGAAGTTAGATTAATCTATGACAAATTCGAACTTACAAAAACCAAAACTAAAACCAAACAATAAAACAACACAAAGAAATAATTTGTTACAATCAGTTGCTAAACACAAAAAAGTTTGCTACATATTTACATATATATAAACAACAAAGAATTCACAGCGAGAACATACCATTTTATAAAACATATAAAATATTCTATGAATAATATGGCTTCTATTCTTTTCATTTTGGGACACGGAACCCTAAAATGTTACGAAATCTGACCTTACCGAGTCACAAATGCAAGAAATACAAAATTCCCTACTTTTAGGGAAAAAATCCCGTAAATAAAGTAGCCATACAGTTGTATTTTTGTTTACAATTTTCATCCCAGTAAATAAAATATAATATGGAAGAAATATCAAGAATTGTCAATACTTACGCATGGTAGGTGATTCTTTGTGACTTTTTAAATTTATTCGTGTAGTTTTTACAGGATTTCACTACACAAGACGGCATTTTTAATTATTTTTATCAGAGCAATTGAATGTGTGACTGCCGCTGTCACGCGGGGTCAAATGGCAGCGGTTTGTCCGACCTGGTGCATTAGTGTGAGTGTAGGTAGTGTACAACAAACGATTTTGTCTGACCTTGCATGCTTCACATGATTTGCCTTTGATGTTACGTCCGTCTTTTTTTTAGGTCCGTGCTAAAGAATTGATTTTCATACATCTATATATATAAAACTCAAAGGTGACTGACTGACATAGTGATCTATCAACGCACAGCCCAAAACACTGGACGGATCGGGCTGAAATTTGGCATGCAGGTAGATGTTATGACGTAGGACGTAGGCATCCGCTAAGGAAGGATTTTTGATCAATTCTACCCCCAAAGGGATAAAATATGGAATGAAAGTTTGTATGAAACTTTGTCAATTTTAAACCGATCGGGCTGAGACTTTGCATGCAGGTATAAGAAGAATCATAGATGCGTGTCATTGTGTATAATACAAGCCTGAGAACAAAAACTGTAGTCTACACCTCAGCTCTACACCGAAGCGAAGCGAGGGCGGGCCGCTAGTAAAATATAATTTTACTCATTCTATGCTCCTGTTTTCCTTTTTTGCGATAACTTTCAAAGAAAGTAAAAGCCCTCGAAAAAGGCCAAATAATAAACAAATCCTTATCACCACTAAAGACGTCCAGTGTGGAGATTTAATTAACATTTACAAGAAATCTAAAAATAGAGGCATAGTATAACTACTTATTATTATTGTCGTAGAATCTTTTTACCCGACTGCGTAATGCAAGAGCGCGAAGCGCGACGCGCAGACAGGGACAGTGTTTAACAGTCTAAATATGTATGTTTGTTCCTTTGTGGCACACTAGAGACCAAACGCCTGGACCGATTTTGATGATTCATACATCAATCGATTCGTCTCAATCATGGGAGTGCTACTAAAGATAACTATCATATTATGATAGTAATCAAAATTCAATATGGGCAAAATTAGGCGCCATATTGTGACGAAGTAAAAAAAATAAGTTGACAAAATATGTCGAGTGGGGTATCACTGTCTAGATAATCGAAAATCATGTTGAGGTTCCTTACACCATTTTTCATTTTATATGATTGTTTAGGATCTACAACGTTGTATATTAATCACTTGCGCAATTTCAATCTTACGCTTATATGGACATGGATCTTTGTTACTCTTTCACTTAAAAAATACTGAATGTATTTTAATGAAACTTAACAGTAACATAGCTCATATATGATAATAACATATAATATAATAATTTATGTTATTTTTTTTTATGTTATAGGGGGCATACGAGCAGACGGCTCACCTGACGGTAAGTGATCACCGTCGCCCATGGACACTTGCAGCACCAGGAGTATCACAAATGCGATGCCGGCCTTTAAGGAAGGAGTACGCTCTTTTTTTGAAGGTTTTTGGGTCGTATCGGTCCGGAAACACTGCTGGCGACAACATATTCCACAGTTTTGTCGTACGTGGTAAAAAATTTCGACAAAAACGCACGGTTGTGGATAACCACGCATCAAGATGATGGGGATGAAATTTTTGTCGCGATGTACGATGGCGAAATGCAGCAGCTGGAATTAATCCGAACAATTCCTCAGAACACTCCCCGTGATAAATGCGATAGAAGATGCAGAGCGAAGCTACATCCCTACGCAAAGCCAAAGGATCAAGCTGATCGGAAAGGTCCTGGTCGTCGACGATTCGAGCCGCTCGGCGCTGGATGCGATCCAAAGGGAGAAGCTGGTAGTGGGGTGCCGCCGCCCAAAGATGAGAGCAGTACTCCACGTGAGGCCGAACCTGTGCCTTATAAAGCTGCAGTCGGTCGGTGTGAAGTACATTCTCGATCTATTGAGCACACCAAGCTTCTTAGAGGCCAATTTGGCCTTGCCCTCTAAATGATCCCGAAATTGGACGTCGCTCGATATGTCAAACGCCAAGAATTCCAATACTAGCT